CCAGGATTGGATTGCTTGGCAACAAAATGATGATTTGATTGTCATTTTGGGCTTGTTTATTTTCAGAACATGATATTGAGGAGAGGAAGTTGTCTTTGCGTCCTGTTTGTTCACCGCTCTACATGCAGTGTATATGCCATCCACGTTCTGGTCCCTCATCCATCTGGTTTTTGTCTAGGTATTTTTTTAGAAAACGTTTTTTTAAATGATCCTTGTTGTCCTACCTCTGTATGTATATATTTTTAATGTTTGTTTGTGTCGGGGAAAAGCATTCCGGATGGTGTGCTATTTTTATTTATTATTATTTTATTGTATTTATTTAGTTCAAAGAGAAAATTAAATGTTTAAAAAAAACTGTTTTAGATGAAAACTAAAACACAAATCTAAATTTTAGATGAACATGATGTTTGAATGTATCTGGTTCATACATGTATGCCTCAATGTCTACATGTGATAAAAAGCTGTTTCAACATTTTTGTGAAAAATATAGGATATGTGAACAAACCATGCAATTATACATTAGTAAGCCTGTAGAATACCAGATGTTTCTTGTTGTAAAGCCTCACTAGGACTGTCACCTTATTATCCTGTGTTCACTGAAGGGTTTTTCTTTTCTCCTGAAAAATGATTTGCACCATGTCAGACTGTTTTCCACAAATGCATCAATCATATGCAGATTGCATACAAAACAATAAAATTCATGTTCTAAGACATGTTTTACAGTACTGTTGCTGATATGGATTTTTTTATTGTATTATTTTGTCAATAACTGTGCACTTGTATGGAGAATGGAAAATGAATAATGTAAATCTCAGTCTTCGTTTTCAAATTTAATTGGCTGAGCAGAATTCCAGGAGCACCGATTCCACAGATCACAATGGTGCGATCACAATTCCAATTGAGACAAATGTATGAGGTAAAGGTAAAACTTTGTACTTGAAAAATCCGTACATTTGTCTCAATTGGAATTCATGTGATTCAAGTTTGCAAATTCTCCTCATTTACAAATATAAAGCTGCTTGGTTTGAAAGCTTCTTTTTTTCATTAATCGCTATTCATCGTTCCACTACTGATATTGAATGACTGCAAGTTACATTGATATCCCAGTAGGTGTCTTTTTAAATGAGTCATTCAACCAGTTCTTCAAAAAAATCAGTGTTCTTCAAAAACACATGAACAAAACAAGTGAATGTTGCGTTTATGAGCGAGTCATTATTGAATCATTCTTTCATGCCAAAGATGGTAAATTAGTAAGGATAGTATGCCAAAATGCAGTCCCGAGTTTTGAAACATTTAACTCAACCAATTTGTTCACACACACTGCTTCAGTAATTTGTTCTGAGATGAAGAATGGTTTTTGCTTTCGGTTCTTTTGGAACTAGTTTTGTTGGTGGAGCAAAAACAAAGTAACTGCCAACATTGTGCCTAAAAGGAACATTACTAAAGCCGTGTTTCCACCTTTCCCCAGGAAGGAACTTTGGGGTGGTGGTACTCTGTGTGTTTATACTGTAGGAACCAGGATCTAAGGGTAAAAAAATTCCCCACAGAAAGTCCCTCCTGTCAAGGTAGTACTTTTTAAGAGTTCAGGAACTTTCGGGGTGGGACTTGTGCGCT